ACTTAAAGAGTATGTTGATTGCTTTGCATGGGAGTACCATGAGATGCCGGGTCTTAGCCGTGAGCATGTTGAGCATCGGCTTCCAATTAAACCGGGTTTTAGGCCTTATAAGCAACCACCTCGTCGTTTTAATCCTTTGCTATATGACTGAGTCAAAGAGGAGATTGATCAGTTGTTGAAGGCGGGGTTTATTAGGCCATGTCGTTATGCGGAGTGGGTTTCTAGTATAGTCCCGGTGGAGAAGAAGGGCAGTGGTAAGATTAGAGTTTGCATAGATTTTAGAGATTTAAATAAAGCCACTCCCAAAGATGAATATCTTATGCCTATAGCCGACATGATGATCAATGATGCTTCGGGTCATAAGGTGATTAGCTTTTTAGATGGTAGTGCTGGCTATAATCAAATTTTTATGGCGGAGGAGGATATGTACAAGACGGCTTTTAGGTGCCCGGAATTTGTGGGTTTGTTTGAGTGGGTTGTCATGACTTTTGGATTGAAGAACGTCAGTGCAACATATCAAAGGGCAATGAATTTGATATTTCATGATTTGCTAGGTATTATCTTAGTGATCTATATTGATGATGTTGTTGTCAAATCGGATGGTATGGAATGACACATAGCCAATTTGAGATTAGCTTTTGAGAGGATGCGCCGGTATGGTTTGAAGATGAACCCACTTAAATGTGCTTTTGGTGTGTCGGCGGGGAAGTTCTTAGGATTCATGGTGCATGAGAGAGGAGTTGAGATCAATCCTAAGAAGATAGAAAAAATTCGTGATTTCAAAGCGCCGACATGCAAGAAGGAAGTTCAAAAGTTGCTAGGTAAGGTGAATTATTTGAGATGATTTATTTCTAACCTAGCAGGTAAAATCGATGCTTTTGTTCCTATACTTCTCTTGAAAAAAGAAGCCGATTTTACTTGGGAGCCAAAACAACAAGAGGCGTTTGAGGAGTTGAAGAGGTATTTGTCTACTTTACCCGTTGTGCGAGCGCCTAAAGCCGGAAAACCTTTTCGGTTATATATTGCCTCCGAAGACAAAGTCATTGGTGCCGTTTTGACGCAAGAGGAAGATGGCAAGGAATATATCATTACATATTTGAGCCGCCGTCTTTTAGATGTCGAAACAAGGTATGTCTTTATTGAGAGACTTTGTTTATGCTTATACTATGCTTGTACCAAATTGAGGCATTATTTGTTATCTAGTACATGCATAGTTGCTTGTCAAGCCGATGTTATTAAACACATGTTGCAAAGGCCAATTCTAAGTGGGAGAATTGGCAAGCGGGCATATGCTTTGATAGAATATTATTTGGCTTATGAACCATTAAAATCTATGAAAGGCCAAATTGTATGTGATTTTATAGTGGACCATCATGTAGATATTGCTTATGAGGAAGAGATTTGCCTAGTTGAAGTTATACCTTGGAGGATTTATTTTGATGGTTCTTCTTGCAAAGAAGGTCAAGGCATAGGGGTAGTTTTGCCTAGTACGTGAAAGCTTTTGGTGATTCGGAATTGGTGGTGCAACAAGTCGCCGGAGTTTATAAATGCTTGGACAGATCACTAAATAAGTACCTCGATTCATGTTTGGATATTATTGCCAATTTTGATAATTTTGCTATTAGACATATTGCTAGGCATGATAATTCTAGAGCAAATGACTTGGCACAACAAGCATCTGGCTATAATGTGAAGAAATGATTATTTCTGATATTAGAAGAGCAGGTGCTTGATTTTAAATCTTTGTGTGAAATTGGCAAAACTAGAGACCAGGGGTGGTCTGACCGGCCACATGCCGTCGGTCTGACCGGCGACCCCGAGTGGTCTGACCGGTTCAATCAATTTAGAGGCCGAATTAATTATAAATTCGAACATTTGTGCCTAGGAAACAGAGGAAGATTGGAGGATTCATTTGATTCGATATTTGAAAGATCCCACACTTAAGGTTGATCGGAAAATTCGGCGGCAAGCATTCAAATACACATTGCTTGATGAAGATTTATATCGCCGAAATATAGATGGTGTCTTGTTGAAGTGCTTAGATGAAGATCAATCTAAAGTGGCTATGGGAGAGGTACATGAAGGAATTTGTAGAGCTCATCAATCGGCCCACAAGATGAATTGGTTGCTTAGGAGAGCTGGATTTTATTGGCCAAGGATGATTGATGATTGCTTCAAATATTATAGAGGATGTTAAGCTTGTCAACAGTTCAGCAATGTTCAATTGGCGCCCGCCGCCATGTTGAATCCTATAATCAAACCATGGTCGTTCCAAGGTTGGGCTTTGGATTTCATTGGTCAAATTTATCATTCGTCATTAAAGGGGCATAGGTTCGTGCTAGTTGCTACAGATTACTTCACCAAGTGGGCTGAAGCTGTGCCGTTGAAGAATACGACTCATACGGAGGTATTTGACTTTATTTTGAAGCATGTTATCCATAGATTCGGTATTCCACAAACATTAACTACGGATCAAGGTGCTTCTTTTATATCTAAGGAAGTGAAGAATTTTGCCGAATCCTATGGTATTAAATTGTTGAGTTCTTCTCCTTACTACGCTTAGGCTAATGGACAAGCCGAGTCGAGTAATAAGACATTGTTGAAACTAGTGAAAAAGAAGATTGAGGAACACCCAAAGAGGTGGCATGAAGTGCTTTCCGAACCATTTTGGGCGCATAGGATATCTAAATATGGTGCCACTAAAGTCACTCCTTTTGAGTTGGTTTATGGTCAAGAAGCCATTTTACCGGTTAAGGTAAATCTTGGTTCTCTTCGTTATATCAAGCAAGATGATTTGTGAAGTGAAGATTATAAGACGTTGATGGGAGACAACCTTGATGAAGTCATCGACAAGCGCTTGAAGGCTTTGGAAGAGATAGAGAAAGAGAAGAGGGTGGCCAAGGCGTACAACAAGAGGGTGAAAGCAAAGTTGTTTCAAGTTGGAGACTTGGTTTGGAAGACAATTTTGCCTTTGGTTACTCGATCCAGAGAGTTCGGTAAGTGGTCTCCTAGTTGGGAGGGTCCTTATCGAGTATGCAGCATTGTTCGAGGAAACGCATATTTTTTGGAGACACTTCAAGGGGAGTGTTTTCAGCGAGCAATCAACGGGAAGTACTTGAAGAAATACTTCCCGAGCGTTTGGCAAAACGCTTAAGGAGGTACTATGGCCAGTACTTGGATTATCGTCCTAAGACCAAAACATGTTCTACGCTTTTAGATTCACGTTGTTCATCAAAAAGGCAGGGGGGCATGTGTTTACACCCAAATTTGGCACCTAGGATTAAAATAGGGAAAATTGCCAAAATTTGGAAGTCTATCGGTTTCCTTCGAGTGGGCCGGTCTGACCGCCGGTTGAGGGCCGGTCAGACAGGCGGTGTGTGGCCGGTCTGACCGGCAGGTCCGAGTCCGACTGTGTTTCATCGTGTCTCGAGGTTTACTTGCTCGGGAAGGCATGTTTCGGGTTTCCTTTAGTTTCTACCCCGAGTTGGACGTGGAGGAGGGCTTGTAGAGGGCAAGACTAACCTCTATATAAGGGACATGGCCGGTTCTATTGTAAGAAACCAATCTACAATCAATCAATCGAATCATTTTTTCATATTGCTTTTAGTTTTCTCTTAGTTTGTCCATCTTTATCGGTTTGCGCCGTAAACCGTCTGCCGCCGCTGCGAGAGTGTGATATCTCTTTGTAGGTTTGTCCTGAAAACCTTCCGTTTTGCCCACGAGATGGGTAGTTATCTTAAATCGGCTTCGCTAGCCTGTTTATTTGTCAAAACCCATCTAGATTTAGCTCTTTGCTAGATCGAGGTGGTTGGTGACTCTAGGATCACTGCAAGGCATAAGGTGCTGCAATCGTTGTTGTCAACTTATCTCAAAAAGTTGCCAACAGTACGTATGTGTTTTTTTTGCTTTATTGATCTTTATTCATAGTACGTCTGTGCGTAGGTTTATATATTTTTCTTCAGACGAACAGCAGGTACGTCTTTGCGTACGTCTGTACTTCTTTGTTTTTAAGTCGTACGTACGTATGTAGTACTTGCAGTTATGGCAGTTATAGTTCTACCGTATACATATAGAGATTAAGGAATTAGTTTCTTAAAATAAAATATATCATATTAGGTAATTTAAGTGAAAATCGACGTTGGATTTGACAGTGCCACGTGGTAGTTTTGGAGCGTTTGTAGAAGTGCCATATGGCAGTTTAAGAGTGTTTATAAAAAGTTTAATGAACTTTTAGTATATAATAGATAGATATTTTTTATATAACAAATAGATTTTGCCTTCATAGCGCAAGAAAGCAGAGGTATCAAGCAGAAACAAGAACCAGAGTATAGTTAAGCTTGTCGATGAATGTCATTTTTTTTTAATTGTATGCCCTTCATGACCTGATCTGCAGAGATGGGATAAACTCAAGATTGTATATGTTCTATTGAATAAGAAATACAATGATCTAATTATGTATATTTGTGATTAAAGTATTCTTATTTCTCATTTGAGCAATATCTAATCAATGATTTTGTATAAATGTTGTAAAAAATCTTAGACATATCCTTTGTTTGAAATTTCAAACTGTACATTTGACCTTTAATTGTCAGTGTATACAAACAGTTAGTCTTGTTTTGATGCATAACTCCTTCAATTGACATATATAATTTATTTCTATAATAAAAAGGGGTATTGCATATTAAATAAAGCATCTTATCATATAATTTTTGGATTTCTATTTTTGACTTCTTGAATACATAATAACATGGTATTTGGATCTTCGAAACATTTTTTTTTCTGTGTTTATCACCACTGTGTTCATATGAAAAGTCACCATAGCGTTAGCACGGGCATTTTACTAGTAATATAAAAAGTACCAGTTATTTAGTTGGATTAACACAGTGATTGCGATTAGCACTGGATTAACACTGTGATCAGCACACGAAGCAAAATCAACATTATCAATGGTAAAATCAGGTACATATTCATGTGTCCATTGTGCATATAGAAGTGCAATAAGAATTTTATTGCACATCTCATTCATTTTTTCAAGAATGTTGGACTGATTTTCAAAGTGACCAATACATTTTAACTCTATACCATTGTTTCTGTCTATAGTACCATGCTTCTTAGTGCTATGCCTATTTTCATATATCGTTCTCATATTATATACAGCATTCCATTGTATAACGGTTCATTTTTCATTTTATTAGTGGCTGCCAAACTGATGGACAACCTTCTTGTGGTGAGCAACCCATATAGTCTGATAAGCTCAATCTGCCTCACACTTCTTCCATGGCCACAGAAACAGCTAGCCAGGTAGGATACCAACATTTTCGTGTTTACCAACATTTTGTTCAGCTTTCACTGATATAGCTAATATATTTGTTGTCACTTCCTGTAGATGAAAGAAACTGTATCTGCTGATGCTAAAAAGAAAAGGTATGCTTCTATATACTGCAGAGCTAGCTAAGTCATGTGTGTTCTTTACCTTTCACGCACATTTCCTTTCCTATTATCATTGCTGAATATCCTTTTTCCCTTTTCTTCAGCGCTGCTTCGGCTCCTGCAACCACCCGCACCCCTAAAATCCAGGCACAGAAGCGAACCTAAACTCTGAAATGGTACTGGGTATGCACCTAGCACCCATAAGTTCTTAACTCATTGAGATGACATATTATTGACAAGGAAACTTTACACTAATGGCATGTTCTATTTAGCACTTTAAATATGCAAATGAAAAAACTATCAGAGAGTGATGATGACATGTATTTACAAACTGTTTGCATTTAATTTCAGAAGCAAACTAAGTATAAGGATGCTCCACCCACTGCAATTGATCTTTTCAAGGAGTGCCATTGCAAAAGCAAGATGGGTTTTAATGAGCCTGTAAAGAATGTTATTGTGAGTTACTTTTTTCTTTTATCTTTTGCAATTATATTTTAATGAGAATGAAATGTGTTTTGTGATTTCTTATCTTCCTGTTGCTAGGCTGTGATAGAAGTTATCATTGATAATCCTGCACAAGAAGGGCAAGATATGATTGGACTTTGTAGATATGGTCAGTGATGTAGAACTTTGTTTTGCTATCTAGGATATGGTGGTACTGTTGTTTTGCTCACCGACTGAACCTAGTTTGCTCTCATACTGTATTTGGAATGTGTCTGGTTTTGGATGTTAACTAGGTTGTAAGATTTATGTTGTATTGGATGTTCGTCGGGTTGTGCTATATGGGTTGTTATCGTGTTTGATTGTTGGGCATATATGGGCTTAGCCCACTTATTATTTGATATTAATATAAATGAATATATTATGACGGGCTCAAAATGGTGTGGTACAATGTTTGGGCCTTTATGGGCTTTTGCAATGGACTTGTCACATTTTGCAACGTGACGAAAAATTCAATGTTTGTGACGTAAATGAAGCGTCATCTATCATAAGATCTCTAGTACTGCCACCTTTAGCAACGATGCCATCATCGTGGCAATATAGGGGATTACCTATAGCATCCAATATGTTTCGGTGGCAATAGAAGTACCCACCTATAGCCACTGTTGATATTTCTTAACAACATTACTAGAAATATAATTTCCAGCAATGACGCATAAATATTCCTGGTATATTATGGTTATAGAGTTTATCCGCAAGCGCACGGATATACCATTGTAGCATTTCACCCGAGAGTATTCCAAGGGTATCATATTTATTTTATCCCGTGGGAAGATCATATAGAGAGAACTTGACTAATAATTTATATATTACTTGTAATAATCATATTCTAAGCAGGGGTTAAAATAATCCAAGGGTAGAGTGACACACAAGCAGTAGTTACTCATTCTCATAATATATTATCTAAGCTAAGTGGAAAGAAAAGAGAAAGATAATCTATTCCTATACTTCTAATATACATAGTATACATACATTCTAGCTAACCTATATACTAGCTAATACCCTCTATTCGATGCCCTCCTGGTACTCCGAGAAGCCACCCCTAACAGCCGAGTTCCTTACGACAGCCCACCATGACCATACAACCGGGGCTAAATACGGAGGAATACCCTCCCCAGGAAATTAACTTAGGATTATATACACGCGCGGAGGAATACCCGTACTGAGCTGTCACCATCAGCGGCCCACCTCTCATCCGCAGCATATAACCCCAAATAATGATATCCCGTAATCTAGACACCATGTCTAAACTACCAGATACTACTCTAATATCATCGTAATGACATAGAGTAATTGCATAAGCAAACATTATACCCGCACCAAAGCATCTCCCAGATAAGCTAGCCGTATATTTAGTATAACATGAACATAATGTAAAGTAGGCATTCATATACTCGGAAAGTATTTCAATACCATAAATGTATATAGAAGAGTATTCTAATAAAATTACAAAGCTTAGAAAAGAGGAAAGGAAAGCTACTAGAGCCATACCCGAACTCTTCCGAAGACTTCCGGACTCCTGATTTCTACTCTATTCCTATTCCACTAGCTAGATACTACTAAACTAAACTTGAGAGAATATGAGAGAGCTCTTGCTTGAGGTGTGTGAGTGAAGTTAGAAGGTCAGGGTTTATATAGCCTTCCAATGACGGTTGTGATGGTTGGAATGGTCGGAAATACCCTCCAACCGTCATTGGGAGCTAATCCACACCGTCCAGAAGAAACCCTGCATCCAGCGGCCCAACCAGCCCATGGTTTGGCTGGCGGCCTCCTCTGTTGTTAGACATGTGAATTTTGGCCTAGTTTGTCGTGTCAATTCTAAGTTCTTGGCCCATTCATATATAAGTCTGGTTCTCGACATCGTCCGATCGATTTATCGTTTGAGTTGATGTCGATTCTCCTCCACTTTATGGTTATTCTCTGTAAAAAGGTTAGTAAACCTAATACTAGTGGAATATTATTATTCTAACATGTATATGTATTGCAAGTATCAATAGTTCTCCTTTATTTTGGTAATATTGACGGTCGAAACTGATCGATAATGACCGTCAACAGCCACTAAAACTTTAATCGTGGCAATAGCAGTGCCCACTTGCAGCAATAACAAAAAAAATATAGTGGCGATAGAAGTGGCCACCTATAGCCACCAAACCAATAAGCGTAGCAATACCGATGCCCACCTATAGCAACCGAAAAAATTCAAGTGGCAATAGAGGTGCACACTTGTAGCAACCAAACAATTCTAGTGGCAATATAGGTACCCACTTGTAGCAACCAAATATTTTGAGTGGCAATAGAGGGTCCAACTATAGCAAGAGACATGTGTAGCGTGGCAATAGTGGGATCTATCAGTAGCAACCAAAACTGTGAGCATGGCAATAGAGGTCGACCTATTACCACGTTTGAGGCTTGTTGTAATACACGTTTTGCAACGCCCAAAAGCACTTATTACCACGCTTTGCTGCGATGCGACTAGTTCGTACAGTAACGACATATGACGTTGCAATACGTTTCTATTACCACCAACCCACCATTGCATTATCTGTTAAATTGCCACGGTTTATTCAGTTGCAAAATAAGTTTTTATTTGCAACGGCAAAGTGATCAAGTGGTAAAAACCCTATTACTATGGAGTTTTGCGCCATGAGCCCTAACGACAAAAATCCGTTGCATTTTCTCCTATTGCAACGGTTTTGGGCATATTGCAACGAATTCTAGCCATTGCATAAGTCCGATTTCCTAGTAGTGTCCTACAACAAATTATTCTCCAAGCACAAGTGGAACTATATTATTTTGAAATAAATATGCATTATAAGCATAGCTAATTCTCCTTTATTATAGTTATATTGACGGTCGAAATTAGTCTATAGCGATCATCAACATACATTACCTTTATTCTATCTCTTTTGATCAAAATATTGTGTTAGTGACTATTTCTATAATATTGTCTGGAAAGCTTAAAAAAACCTAATAAATGATATTACAGCCGATGGGACATATTTAGGGTTTGCTTTACTTAATTTTCAACTCACAGCCGATCTGGGGAAACCAACATAGGCTAGATCTACTATTGATACATCATCGGCTTATCGGCCAATCATCTATCGGTTATTTAACTCTGTTTTCTTGATTTCCTTGTTGGTTGTAGGATAAAACCAGCTGGCATGCCCTTGACCCATGAGGCAAGCCTTGGACCTGAACATGAGTTAACCAGATCGCCCAAGCCGCCTTGTTTTCCGTCAACAAGGTTTTAACGAGGAAACAGATGCATCACAATATTCAAAGTGCCATGCACTCTTTTCTCCCACCTTCTTTTCCACTGGGTTTTCAGGTGGAGTTTTTGACGAGGCATGTGCATAATTCAAATTCGTCCAAGGGGGGAGTGTTATGAAAACTATTTTGTTCTGGACAAATTAAGATATTAGTGAAAAGCTTACTGCAGAAGGAGGCATACATTGGAAGCCAGCTTCCAAGAGAAGCCAACTTATGACGTAAGCTGGCTTATGAGAGAAGGCAACTTACGACGTAAACGGCGTAAACCAAGTCAGCTTGTAGGAGAAGCCAGCTTAGAGTGTAAGCCATCAACTTCCTCCGCCAATAAATAGGACCCTGAAGGCACTACTTGGAAAAGCATTATCGCAAGCGGCCGAAAACGGTCTTCACAGGCGGGGCGGCCGTCCGCCTGTAAGCCAATGACTGTGAAGATCGCCGATCTTCGCAAGCGGTGCGGCCGTCCGCCTGTGAAGATAATTTTTGCGGGCGGACGTTGGCTAGTCCGGTCCGCCTGCTAAAATAGGAATCGGCCGCCTGCAAAAAAAAAAATTCCGCCTGCGAAGTTTGGTAGGAAATATTGGAATTTAATAATAATTTGCTCGTAAATTACTTTTAAATTATTTAATAGAAATTCTTGCCGGTAGATTATTATGTACATATATTGGAAGATTATCAAACATTTGGTACTGATAAATGTACATATATTACATAACTCAAAAGTGTTGCCAAAAATATTACAATATTTTTTTACATTGTCACTTCAAATACGCCATCTAATTAATACATTATGGCATAGCACTGTTCCACTCCCAAAGATCCTTGAATTCGTCACTTGTGGCTAGGGCACCCTCTGGGTCGATGAAATCTCCTTTCACATGGTAGCACTCATGGTGGATGAAATCGCACAGATCACGCTGAACATTTCTGATGCCTGTATCTTCAACGCTTGTTCGACGTTCTAATCTTGGCATCTGCATGCATTGAAGATAAACAATATATTAGTATCATAAATATGTGAAGCTGTCTAGCACATAGTATAGATACTTACATCCTTTGCGTTAGTCCTGTACCTCCCATTAACTCTAAGGAATTCGCAAGCGTAATACCCACAAAGGACCGTTCCTTGCGGTTGCTTGTGACACTTCAGGACATATCATAAAAAAATAGTTAAAATTTGTAATTAGTGAAACAATTGGTATACATTAAGTGAGTGGAGTATTACCGGCCAATAGGTACGTACTAGTAGCTTCTCCCTTGTTCGGTCTGTTCTCCACCCTTGAACTTGTAGTACTGGTACGCACTGTACGGATGTCGTACCGTTTCACATTAAGGAGGATATTTACTTATAATACATTCATATAAAAATGCAAGAGTCATAATCACTTACTACTGTAAGATTATTAGAAATTCTTTGTATGACTGTTGTTTTTAATCGGGAGGGTCCAAGACTACCACGGTTCAGTCTTTAGGGTGGATGAGTAAACAGATATAATGATCGCTAAAATAAGACATATGCGTAGAAGATAAATGTACGGGACGTACTTAAAATTATAAGCTACCATGACGACTCTCTTATTTTGAAAGTGCAAGAAGGCTCGTCCAATGTACTGTGCGATAGTAATCAACTTCTCCTTGTGCAAGCCCTTCTTGTATTCACCTATCTCTTTTGCAGTCTTGCCCTTCAGCTGGTCAGACCCTGGTGCTAGCCTCACGGTATGTTGTGTTTGGCAGATCCGAGTTGGATCTAAGAAGCCGATAGGTTTCTTTTTTCTTCTTAGTATCCATGTATTGCATCCTACAGAAGAAGTTTGTTAGTAACAATCACATGGATTTGTATTGTACATATTTTTCATATAATTAATTAAAACTCATACTTACATGCACCAAACACCGACATAGTTGACGTCCATCTTATCCCGACGATATATGGCATGGAGATCTGAGAAATCTAGCCATACGTAACCTTGTTCGCCGAAACAATATGCCGGTGATCGAGCTGTTATATTGCCCAAGCCTTTCTTACTGGCCTCCATGTAGAAGGTATGTTACCTTCTCATCTCCCATGGTCCTTCCTTCAGTGCCCATTCCGGCAAGAGTGCTTTCCCATGTTCGTACTTTTCTGGGCAATCATCAGTTGCGAAGTATGTTGGCCCGGCTAGTTCAGCGGCCTTCTGGGGGTCATCATCTCTGAGCTTGGCACGTTCC